TTCACTCGACTAGAACTTCCAACTTTTTATGAAGATGTTAACCACTAAAACAATCCTTGTCAAATATGTTTAATGTTAAATGTGAACTTATCAAACTAACATAAAGACAAAAATCAGAATGAAAAAAAGATTAACACATTAGAGTAAAAGTTGTACAAGTTAAAAGATGACCCACACAACCACTGTTGCTCCAAAACGCACACGCAAGTATACCTGGTCGACAAGTAATATAATGATAAGTTGAGTGTCGAACCCACGGAGACTTGTGTAAACTACTCACTATATCACTAGAATTGTTATTCAATCCAGCTAAAAGCAAAGCCCAATAATATGATTATACGACACTACGATTCTAAATAATAACTAAATTATCAAGTAACGAGTTGATTTTTGTATATTCAGTAGAGACAAGTATTCCAGGGTTGTAATCGATTCACCATTCGTATTGTGTTCTAATTAACTCTCCCCTTCATATAATTCACTCATGGTTGCTAATTAATCGATAAATGCTCTCATAGCCTTCTCCCGAAGTACTACTCACATATTCTCAATAGATTAACGCCTATATTCCTATGAAATCAATCTATTAAGAACGCATTAAGATTACGATATTTAATTAAGCATGGTGACTAGGTATATTCCTATCCTAACCACAAATCCGCTCCCTCTAAGGGTTAAGATCAAGCTCTCTTCAATTCTTCTCTAATCTAAACACGGCTTTCCCAAGCATAGCATAGATAGTAAATAGAACCTAACTGCTGGCCAGACAATTAAGTAATTAAACACAGAATTGAAGAAACAACCATATATTGGTGAATTATAATCAAGGTCAAGTCAATATCAAACAACAATATTCATGGCTAAATCACAACCCCAAAACAATGGGTGTCTAGCCACTCGTGATGTAATCAAACAATTGCATAAGTGTTGAATAATTGAAAATACTAGAAAAGATGAAGAATTCTGAGATGTTCTTGCTCCTTGATGTTTCTTGTGTGTATTTTTCCTCCAAAGTGCGTCTCCCCCTCCCCAAAATTAGGCTTAGTCTTCCTTTTATACGTGTTGGATAGGTCTAGGGCCGAATAAACCGTGTCCCGGGCAAAAATAGGATGAAATCCGCGTCAACGGCGCCCAGCCCGGCGCCAGGCGCCCACCAGGGCGTTGCCCCAAAATGCACACTGTTTTTCGCGCCACAGGTGGTGCCAGGCGCTGCCTGTGGCGCCCAAATGGCCTCTTTTTCCGGTTTTGTTCGTTTTAGCTCAATTCTTGCACGTTTCGCCCCCACTTGCTCCCGAATCATTCCTACAAGTAAAAACACTTCAAATTAATATAAATCATAGCATTTAACATCCCAAATTCATGAAACAAGAGTAAAATATGAGGCGATATACATAGAAATATATATACTTTAAGCTAAACATCAACACCCACACTTGAGAAATGGGACAATCTAATAAACCCCCAACTACGTACAAGTCTCAATTATAGAAGAGAACCTTAACTTTTAACCACACACTATACCCTTGACTATGATCAATACCGGCACACAAGCATGAACACACAAAATTTCACATTCTTCCCGTTTAAGCATACACAAGTATAATATTTCAATTCAATAAATTCAAACAACCTATTCGTCACCACCCAACCTCAAAAGTCGACTTGCAACCACTAAGCACCCTCAATTCATGCACTTACCCAACAAGAAAGTTTACCACATTACCAATCATTCATGAGATCGTGTGCCCTCACCAACAAACAAAAGAGTGAATATGGATTAGTCCACACATTCAAATATGCTTTTGAATATAGATTGAGGACATCACACAATTGAACAAAATTCGCTCACTCTCACAAAGAATTCATATGCATCCCGTGGTCGTACCATAAGCTTGCCCGTAGTGTATATCTCTAGTAATTTAAGCTAGCCAAATCTAGGATCAATTAGGACTTTAAGGTTGTAATGTAAGCTAAGGGACGGGTGTGATACATTTAGAAATAGAAGACTAACCCTCCTAAGCACTTTAATACACTACATTTACAATTCAAGCACATATTCTTCTCAACCAAATCACGCCATATACAACATAGCCCTCTTTTCAACTAAGCACTTCTATAATTCCACTAGCACAAATCATTAAGAATTTGAGGTGTGTATTTTTCTACATACTTTCACTATCATTTTTTTTTCTTTTCTTTCAATTTTCCTTTCTCTTTCTCTCTTTTTTTTCTTCTTTTCTTTACACACTCCATACATTAAAGTTCATCGGCTAGTGACCTTTGATTTCAACTTTGGTGCACCAACGGGCCCTTCCATGGTTCCCCTCAAAAGCTACTCCCCAATCTCTAACCTTACTTCTTTTAGCGACTAAGTGCCTTAGGAGGTAAAGGTTCAATCAATATCCAATTAAGAACAAAATAGGAGTATGGCTTGTAATGTGGGTGCCAAATGAAAGGTCTATAGGCTCAAAAGGGCTAGCAGCGGAAAATTTTATTTTTATGTGACAAGCACATTCATGATCAAGCAAGAAAATGCCTACGTCATCTCCTAGATTAGCACAACTTACAATTTTGCTTCGATTAACACACGGGGCAAGTTCTAGACTATATAGGATAGCATAGAAGATCATAAATCCTCACAGACACGTTGCACATGACTCAATCAGGACGGTTCTGCTCAACTCTCAAGTCAAGCAAGCACACAGAATTGAGAAATTTAAGCAATATTGCACTATGTGGCATACGAGTCAAACAACTGAGAGAAAGCGTCACAAAATAGGCTATTTACTTTACTTAGGCTTTACAATTCAAACCAAATACATGGGAAGACAGAATGTATGCCATAGGCTAATGTGTCAGCATCAACCGTGTCAATGAGTATCTTAGAGCGACTCAGTTTCTTCCTAAACTACTCCTAAAAAAAATAAAGTACCCAGTTCGAGCTACATCCTTGGAAAAGAACCGGTGCCCAAAGAAAAACCAAGGAATACTACCTAGCTATTCTAAAAAAAGAACAAAAGAAAAAATCTTTTTGGTGTTTTCAATCGGACTTTTATCCCTCAAGAAAATTATCCAAAAGATCCGTCGTCGGGAAAAGTCCAAGTTTTTTTAATTTTTTTTCATTTAAAGCAATTAATACTACACTAGAACTACTGAAAGAAACCAATTAAAACAAGATGATAAAAAATATACAACTACAGCACAGGTAGTACTCCTCCCACCCCACACTTAAACTATGCATAGCCTTCGATGCAAGTAAAAATGAGAAACAGAGTAGGGTGAAAAGAAAAGCTCCCTGTCAATCAGAGTCCACCTCCCCCAGCAACTCTGGGGTCATCATCATCTGGTCCGAGAGGCACCAAAGCCATAGGCCCTGTAGCACCATTCCCATCCTCATCCTCAGTGTCCGAGCCCTTGACAGTGTTGACGTCCTCCGACGAGTGAACGGGGCTGCCAGGTGCAATCCCCAACATCTCCTTGGACGTGCTAAACAAATCATTGCGTAAATGCATACGCTCCTTGTCTGTAATACCTGCTCTGCTCATGAGTAAGTTCAACGAGTTATAAATGTACCGGTTGAAGTTTTCTTCTCGCTCCATCCGGGATGCGGGGGTGAGTTTTGACGCTGCCTCCACCACAGATGTGATGTCCATAAGTCCTGACGGAACCTCCACCACCTCATCATGTCCGGGGTACTTCGGCACTCCTCAAAATAGCATATATTGAGTAAGTAAATTGCCGAAGAAGAGCCGCCTAACCTGTCACCCAAACCTCGTGCGGGCCATCTCACTGAGCATAATCGCAGCCACATTAATTGGTCGGCCGGTCATCAAGAAGAAAATGAGACACACTCTAGTGCGAGTGCAATCGTTGCTATGCTCCGCCGGCATTAGTCTCGCTTGAACAAAATTCTGCCACACCTTGGCAGCTTTGTTGAAGTCTGAGCGTACCATAGAAAGGTGATTGTTGCACTGCTTCCTTACCCATTTAGCATTGGAATCCACGCCACAAAGAGTGTGACGTATCAGCTCATACTTTGGGCTTGTGATGAAGCGTTGGAGTCTCCTTGGGTCAGCATTCTCAACCCCCAAATAGTCACACAAAGACTCTCTATCCATCCGCACATCCTTCCCTCTTACACGTAAAGTGTCCTTTTTGTAATTCCAGTTAGCATACAGCTCTCGGACCATGCTCAGGTTTGCAGGCCCTGGACATTCTAAGAATTTGTGCATATTTAAAGCTTGCAACCTGTCAAGTATCTCTGGGAAGTTTCTTTCTAAGGCCGTGGTGTTAATTCCCATCTCAGAAATGTACCGACCAGATGGCACGAAGTCCCTGTGCCATGCAATAGCTGCATCATTAACCAAATCCAAACAAGGCCTCGGCCTTAATGGCGCCTGCTGAGATCCCTCGGCGACCTGCTTTCCCTTGGACTGCCGTGAAGAGCTTTCTCCCTGCTTGTGCTTTTTGGGCTCAGGAGAAGTGGTGGGGGACTTTCCAATGCCTTTGCCTTTGCTAGAGACATCACGAGCCATAGTATCCTGAAACACAGTTAAGCATGAATGTGAGAATGGTTCAAGAAATATGCCTAAGGCTGTCGTGCAAGTCATGAAATGACCCCACACTTAAAACCGAAGGCACAATGTACACTATGTCAAAAGTGTTCATCCACCATGTACAAGTGTTGCACCTTAAAGCTATGGGTACTCAAGACTTCCCCATGCTACACAAAAATGATTGATCATGGCAACACGAATTCACAATAAGGTAAGCAAGAGGCATATGGTATGCACCTTTCACAATTACTAGGCTATACTAAATTAGTCAAACTTACAAGATTCTACAACATACAACATATAAGATCAATGGTGTAGGAACATGTTTTGCAATAAAGCCACATCCCCTGGCATGTAATAGTATCCCTATACACCCCACACTTAGCCCGAATGCATACACAATTGCATCCGGTTACTCAGACTTCACCAGTGCATCAAAAATCCTCATTCAAGCATTTGAACAAACACAATGTGGGCATGAAGTGTGTTCTTATAATTCAACAATGGTGGAATATTGTAGCCTCCAATTTNATCCCCAATCAATACTCGTTCAACAGGATCTACCAGGCTCATATAGGGCACTAACGATGTGGCATCACTCTCCACCGCAAAGATCATGGATAACTCTTCATAGTGGGCTGGTAACTTGAGTGCTCTATAAACATTGAAGACCTCCACTCGATCACCCACTCTCATTTTCATCCTTCCTTCGCAGACATCGATAATAGCTCGGCCCGTGGCTAAGAATGGACGCCCCAAAATAAATGGGACTTCCTGATCAGGCTCGTAATCCAAGATAATGAAATCAACAGGGAATATGAAGGAACCCACTTGAACTAGCACATCTTCAATCACTCCCTCAGGATGAGCAAGGGAGGGATCGGCTAACTGTAAGATAACTGTTGTTGGGCGTGGCTCACCCAAACCCAACTGTCTGAACACAGATAGCGGCATCAAATTGATGCTCTCTCCAAGATCACATAAGGCTCGCCCAACAGCAATTTTACCAATCGAGATTTGGATAGTGAAACTACCTGGATCCTTCAATTTCTGAGGTAACTTGCCCTGAATTCTTGAACTCCACTCCTCAGTGAGTTCCACAGTCTCGAACTCGGTTAGCCTCCTTTTATTTGCCACAATGTCCTTGATGTACTTTGCATATTTGGGTACTTCTTGTAAGATGTCAACCAATGGAATATTAATTTGCACCTGCTTCAAGATATCAAGAAACTTTTTATATGCTGCATTATCTCTTAATTTCTGCAATCTTTGAGGGAATGGAGGTGGTGGCCTTGCAACCAATTGTGGGGGTTGCTCAGCCACCGCCTCTCCAGCTGGCTTCTCTGGTTCCTTAGCTTTTTCTGATGTTGATTCTATAGTGGTTGGCCTCTCATTAAAAGTCACATGTTTCCTCTTTTTAGACTGAACTTCTTCTAGTTGTCTCCCATTCCTCAACGACACGGCATTAAGGGCCGCCCTAGGATTCACTTCAGTGTCACTTGGAAGAGCTCCAGCTAGTCTAGTGTTTTGAGCACTGGCAAGCTGTCCCATTTGACGCTCCAAATTTCTCATTATTGTGGCGAGGGCTTGCTGTTCAGCTATCACTTTTTTCAACATGTCTTCAAAGTGACTTGTAGGATTTGCTGTTGTTCAACCTGAGGTGGTCTATATTGATGTTGAGGTGCTTGAGGCCTGTATTGATTCTGAGTACCTTGGTTTCCACCCCAAGAGAAGTTTGGGTGGTTCCACCAGTTGGGATTGTAACTGTTTCCATATTGGTTTGTTTGGCCTCTATTTGAATTACCCACAAAGCAGACAGATTCTGGGTTAGTGGGGCATATGTTGCTCGTATGCCCCTCTCAACATATTTCACAAAAAAACTTGAACCTGTTGTACTGGTTGTACTTGTTGCTTTTTGATACTCAAGGTCCTCCAAAGTGCCGTCTCCCCCCCCCCCCAAAAAAAATTAGGCTTAGTCTTCCTTTTATACGTGTTGGATAGGTCTAGGGCCGAATAAACCGTATCCCGGGCAAAATAGGACGAAATCCGCGTCAACGGCGCCCAGCCCGGCGCTAGGCGCCCACCAGGGCACTGCCCCAAATTGCACACTGTTTTTCGCGCCACAAGTGGCGCCAGGCGCTGCCTGTGGCGCCCAAATGGCCTCTTTTTCCGGTTTTGTTCGTTTTAGCTCAAATCTTGCACGTTTCGCCCCCACTTGCTCCCGAATCATTCCTACAAGTAAAAACACTTCAAATTAATATAAATTATAGCATTTAACATCCCAAATTCACGAAACAAGAGTAAAATATGAGGCGATATACATAGAAATATATATACTTTAAGCTAAACATCAAGCACAAAATATCATAAGGGGACATGTGTTAGTGAAATGAGTCCCAAAGAAAGTGGCATCGGAGTCAGTTCGAGAAAATGATAAAAATTGCTCCCTCCGGTCTAAAATAAGTGATTTTTTGGCCTTTTTTTTGTGGTCCAAAATAAGTGATTTTTCCAGATTTCAAGAATGATAATTATTTTTTTCCTACATTGCCCTTGGAGTAAATAGTGTTGGAGTATGTGTTAGGAGTGTTTATGTGAGATAATAAAGGTTAATATGGTCTATTTCATTGCTAATTAATGTTAGAAGGTGGACTTCTTAATTTGTGTGAAAACATTCAAAAAATCACTTATTTTGGACCGGAGGGAGTATTACCAGTATCGCTTATGTTTGAGGGTATGTTCAAAATGATCCATTAAATATATTTTATGTAATTTTGGTCCTTTAATTTAGATTGTAGTTTGACTCGGCACAGAGTTTAAGAAAAAAATAAGACTTTTGAAACTTAAGGTCTTAAAAGCTTAAATGGTAAAAGCTTTGTGGGGACATGATATTTTTGTGGTTATAAAAGATTATCATTAAGGGTATAATGGGTAAAATAAAGAGTTTGAAGTTGAATTATTTCCTAATTTGGAAATGTCTCATTTATTTTGGAACAGATTAAAAAAGAAAGTAACTCATCTAATTTGAAACGGGTGGAGACAAAAAAATAATCACTTTTACAAACTTAAAAGATGGAAATTGTTCGAAAATATATTTAAGGAACTATTTTAAATCTACCTCAAACATAAGGGACCATTAATCACTAGATAACATATCGATAAATATTCAAAAACTGGTTGGTCTAACTTTATTTGATTCCCAAATTGATTTCTCATGATGTAGTCACTCAACTGGCCATTACATTATAGGAAACGAAAGGATTTGGCCAGCCTGTAACCAGAAATTGAGCAAAAACTAGTAGGTCAAATTATTTAAATATTAGGTCATTAATATTGCTATTTTATACAGCAGAATGTTAGTGCAACAGGACAAATCATAAAAAGGGAAAACTTGGGTTGGGTAAAGCTAAATATTCAAGTTTCTAAATAAAGAGAAAATTTAAGATTTTCTTCAACTTAAGTTCGATTTATTTGCTTGAAAATGACAGTTTTCTAAAGTTACCAAATGAAGGAGAGAAAGAGTTCAAGATCGACTAAGTAAAGCCAAGAAATATTCCTAATTTGTTATAAAATAATAAAAGAAGAAAAGAGTATTGTAGAGAAAAGTAGAGAGAGAATTCCTATTGATTTTGTGATCAATTACGATGGAAAAGAACCATTTATTTATATACAAAAAGTGACTTAGCCATCAAGTAACAAACCCTAAAATCTCTCTAAATAGAACCTTAACTAAAATAAAACCCAGTGGAAAAAAATTCTAGAGAAGGAAAAAGAGTACACATATCTAACAATACGCTTTTTGGTTGCCTCATTAAAAACCTTGCAAGGAAAACCCAATGGGACAAAACCTTGTAAGGGAAAAAGAGTACAACGCGTATTAATCCGCCCTGATGAGAACATCAATTCACATCCTTAAGCATTTGCATTTCAATCTTGTGCACCATCTTCAAAAGATCTTTGGTAGAGATTTGATAAACAAATCAGCCATATTAACTTGAACGAATTTGTTTCACCTTGAAATCATCATCCCTAATAGGTGTATTGTCTTCATATAATCTTGTTGGAATCGCCAGTTCAATACCTTCACATAGAGGTGAAAACTCTTGCTATCATATTATCATCCCTGTAGTTATAGCAAGGTGTCACGACCCCAGTTCACCCTCCATGAACATGTCGTGATGACACCTAGTTCCTACAACTAGGTAAGCCTAACAGTGCGGAATAGCGAGTTAACATTTGCGGAATAATAAATTAAAACTGAACATACGGAAGTAACAACTGTATATATAAGGCCACTCAGCCTATACAACTCAAAATATGCGGAAGTCTATAACTAAATCCCAAAATCCGGAAACTCACGGGAAACACAGGCTAATAGAATGTAGTAAACTGCTCTACACCAGAATGTCTAAACGACATGAAAGGAAAGAAAAGGAACTATCTGCTAAAGCCGGAATAGAGTAGAGACTCCCGGTCTGCGAACGTAGCAGATATACCTCAAGTCTCAGCTAGGACTCTCCACCACGAGGATGATATGCTTGGGAGGAAGTACCTGGATCTGCACATGAAAAACATGCGCAGGAAGGGCATGAGTACACCACAGCGGTATTCAGTAAGTGTCAAGCCTAACCTCGGTTGGGTAGTGACGAGGAAGGTCAGGGCCCTACTGAGATAACATAATAAATAATGAGATAACAGAAATAATTTAAATAAAGTCTACAGCGAGTATCTAAACCAAGTAAATAAGGAAGAACAGTAATAGAAAGCAAAGGTAACAATACACGGAAAACTGCCCTCATAAGGAATAGTAGCCGGGGAATCTCTTGGTATCCCGAGGATCTCTTGGTATCCTCATCATCAACACTAGGGATCTCTCGGTATCCCGAGGATCTCTTAGTATCCTCAATAAGTAAGTCGGGGATCTCTTGGTATCCCAATATATATATAGAAACACATGTGCCAGGGATCTCTTGGTATCCCGCACCCTCAGTCCAGAATATCTCAAGTACAGGGGATCTCCCGGGAAGCCGTCCCGTAGTCCCAAGTTAAACACACAACAACAACGATTCCTAAATCTCGGAACAATGCTAAAATTCAGGACACGAAGTAGTAAATTATAGCCTAACATGCTTCACAGAGTACAAATAGCACAGTTAAAGCAAATAAGCAGGTAAGCCAGCTAAACATGAGTCTCTAAGCTAGCACAGGTACAAACTTACAGTTAAAATGGACAAGTAAACAAGAAAGCTCAATTTAAATACTTCAAGTAGAAACGGATTTACAACAATTAGCTCAAGTACGCGCTCGTCACCTCACGTACGGGGCATTCAAATATTCAAGATCATATCCTAAGGGAAAAGGTCCCCCACACAAGGTTAGACAAGCCACTTACCTCGAACCGGCTCAATATCAACTAGAAATCACGCTCTTGCCACGAGTATCCGACTCCAAATGGCTCAAATCTATTCAATTCAATTACATATTGTAATAACATCGCAAACACCTGGTTTTGCTAATAAATTCAAAGCTACGGCCTAAAATTAGGTGAAATGGCCAAAATGCCCTCCAGGCCAACGCCCCGGAATCGAATAATTTTTTACGTTTTCAGAACCCTCGTACTCTCACGAGTTTAACCATATAAAAATCTCCCAAATCGGAGGTCAAATGCCCCCTCAAAACCCCATAGTTAGGTCTAAGAAGTTTACCCACTTCCCATTCAAAAATACGAAATTAAAGGATGAATTTGCGATTAGATTAATTGGTTTTAGTCATAGGAAAGTAGAGAATTGTTACCCAGTGATTGCCCTTGAAAAACTCTTGAAATTGCTCCCAAATCCGAGCTCCAAACCTTGAGTTTTGATAAAAATGGCAAAACCTCGTTTTTGAAATGTTAAGTACTGTTCAGGAGTCTAAAGCATCGCGAACGCAAAAGGCAGCACGCGTTCGCGAAGAAGGAAAATATAAAGGGACCAAAAATGCCCTTCGCGATCGCGAAGGAATGGATGCGAACGCGAAGGCCTGGGTTCAGTGAGCTACACGAACGCGACATAGGTCATGCGAACGCATTAAATGAAAATCAAGCCCAGCCCTTGGAGTCCAATAAGTCTATGCGAACGCGACAGCCCTGACGCGAACGCGGTTAAGAAACGTGTGAAGCTACGCGATCGCGGAGCACTAATCGCGAACGCAATGAAGAAACTTGTCATCCTCCAGAATTACTCTAAGCGAACGCGTAGAGGAGGACGCGAACGCGAAGAAGGAATTGGGACCTGCACAGCTGAAGGATTTTCTGCAACACTTTGAAACTCCAAAATGCTCCGTTGAGCATCCGAAACACACCCGAGGCACCCGGGACCTCAACCAAACCTACGGACATGTCCCATAACATCATTCAAACTTGTACCAAACCTTAAACCACCTAAAACAACGCCGGAAACACGAATTAATCAAGGATTCAAGCCTAAGAACTTCAAATTCCAACAAAACACACTTTCAATCAAAAACCTAACCAAACCTCGCCCGAAAGACCTGAAATTTTGCACACACATCCCAAATGACATGACGGAGCTACTGCAACTTCCGGAATTCCAATCCGACCCTCGGATCAAAAACTCACTATC